AAAATACCTCCAATGTTGTTCAAATTCTCAGATGTTGTTGACACGTTCGCATTGCTCTGCCAAGCAACCGTACAGCGGGTGCAACCCGTAGCAACATGTGACGTCACCTAACTGATTCGGGGCTAAATTGTTTGGCAAACAATTCGGCATTGGCGCCAGATTGCCAGATTTCGCACCTCTTTCTTGTGGGTTTTAAGCAAACGTGCAGTGAAATTGGAGGAACTAGAGTTTATTTTGTCATAAAGTAGTGTAATTATGCATGACACGAAGTATTTGCTAGTCTAGTACTGGAGAAATTAGCGTTTGGATGCGCATATTGTGGCTTTAAGGGAGAATCAGAGAACAAAACAAGGTAAAGTTTGAATATATTTATTCACATATTGATAGAATAAAAAGTTGAAACTACGCAAAACGCTGTAAAACAGTGTCATGCTCTTCTCTATTATGGACTCTTGATATTAATATATATCTGAAGATAAATGTGGGACCGTTAATTATTTTGTTATCTTTATGTGCCCTAGACATTCACACTAGAATTCTATCCATAGGTGCAAGGGTGTAGAAAACCTTCCCTTTCTTTTCCCTTCTTCACCTTTTCGCTATCTTTTCTGCGCATTATTCATAACACCTCCCTAACCTGTCACCCACATCTATATTATTCTCCATGCTGTTCTGCTATTAAACCCCTTTTACCCCTCCTCATTATTAATATTATGCCTAAAAAAAGACGTTTGTTTCTGCTAACGAGCAGTTTTGTATTCTAACAATACTAATACGCGTGCAGTGTAAATTAAATTACTATGTGGTGTGTGTCAAAACTCCCTGTGTTCTGATAGATCGGCTCTGTGTACAGATTGCAGTGTAGATAGACGGTTGTGTAGCAGTGTTCGTGTGTATGTACTCACAACTTTATAGTGATAAAATCGGAATCAACTGAGCAACACCGTATGACAGCACGTAATATTAACTAAAGGTAGGTTCTAATGAAGTATTTGATTCAATGACTCAGCAAGCTGTGGGTGTACAGTGTTCAGTATTGTTAGGGTCTAGTGCTGAAATCAAATTCACCAGCACAGCTACTCTTATCAACTGCGAGGCCCAATGAAATCAAGTTTAATTGTACAAGGCAAGCACTTCTTGCCATACATATGAATCAAGAATCCATAATCGAGAAGAGTATGACACTGATTTAACAGTGTTTTGCGTAGTTTTCAACAAGAAATTATTCTATCAATATGTGAATAAATATGTATTCAAACTTTACCTTGTTTTGTTCTCTGATTCTCCCTTAGTCATATGAAACCACCATGCAGTTTACTTGAAAATCGTATGTGTTCTTCAAAAAAATTCTTTGAATACGACACAGTTTCACACAATTTTTCCCATGATTTGCATGATATCAGGAGTAGATAATAGAAGATTCTATTATCTACTCCTGATGATATGAATAGAAGTTTCTAGCAGCGGCAGCACCAGATTTAATTGTTACTACGGGACGCTGGGGATATTAGGTAAGCACAGTAACAGCACTTGTTTCACTTCTTGCCAAAAAAAAACATGGCAACACAGCTAAAATCTGCTGCTAGCTTGCTGTGAGCACATTTATTTTTAACACACTGGAAACACGCTTACTAAGCTTGCATACAATTCAATGTCTAATATCCCCAGCGTCCCGTAGTAACAAATCTGGTGCTGCAGCGCTAGAAACTTTTATTCATGTCATGCAAATCGTGGGGAAAATAGTGTGAAACCGTGTATTCAAAGAACTTTTTTGAAGGACACACGATTTTCAGGTAAACTGGTGGTGTCATATGATTAAAGCCGCAATATGTGCATCCAAACGCTAATTTCTCCAGTACTAGACTATAGCAAATACTTCGTGTCATGCATATATATAATCATACTACCTTATGACAAAATAAACTGTAGTTCCTCCCATTTCAGGCAGAACTGGGGGCTCAGGGATAGAGAAGATGTCCAGTCCTATCTTATCAACTAACATCATCCTATCCAATCACCGTACTGGACGTGATCTCTATCCTTGAACCGAACTGGGAAGCATATAGACAACAGAAACAAAGTAAACAGGTTGAAAAAGCAAGCAATACGGCTATATTTTGCCGAACGATGCGGTGGTGGCACAAAATCGAATGATTTCTGGTCCACCATACGCCCTTTTCTCTCTGAAAAAGGGAATACTAAACAGAACCAAATTCACCTGAGACACAACAATGAAACCGTCTCAAACCAAAACGAGGTATGTAATCTTTTTAATGAGTACTTCGTTAATGTTGCCTCGAAAATTGGAGAAAACTGTAAATGTACGAGCTAGACACAGAACATCCAAGTATAAAGGCTATTCGGAAAAATATACCACCTCCTGACACCCCGTTCAACTTCCAGGAAGTTTCTGAACGGATGTAAGAAAAATATATTGACAAAATAGGCAAGAAAAAAGCAACGGGGATTGACAAAGTATCACCAAAGATAATTCATATGGCGAAGGATGAAGTAATCTCCCCAATAACAAGAATTGTCAACCTAACACTATAGTGTTGTAAGCTCTTGCCTCTGAACACTCAAGTAAACAGTCTGTTTTACTGTTCATCACACA